CTTAAAACCTTACAGTTTGATGGGGAAGGTGGACATGACTTAATTGAGTAAAAGATGGAGGTGCAAACTTTGCATAAAGATAATGACAATAAAGAGCCATTAGCATTGGCACTGTTAGAAGTCCTTCATACATATTACCTCAATAAATCCTCAAAACACCTTTTGAGGTAGGTACTATCATTATTCCCATTTTACAAAGGAAGGAAGTATGGTACAGAGATGTTAAGTAACTTGCCCAAGATCACACAGCTTTTTAAGTGGGGACTATGATTTGGACCCAGTGAGTCTGGCTCTAGTCAGGGTTAGAGGTAAGCCTGGGTACCCGCTGGAGTCCCACCACATCTGCTAGGTGATCTCATGCAGGCTATTTAACTTTTCTGAGCTGAAGTTTCCTCATCTATAAAATTGGACTAGCCAGGAGATCGAGACCATCCTGGCTAACATGGTGAAACCCCGTCTCTACTAAAAAATACAAAAAAAAACAAAAAACAAAAAAAACTAGCCAGGTGCGGTGGTGGGCGCCTGTAGTCCCAGCTACTCGGGAGGCTGAGGCAGGAGAATGGCGTAAACCCGGGAGGCAGAGCTTGCAGTGAGCCGAGATCCGGCCACTGCTCTCCAGCCTGGGCGACAGAGGAAGACTCCGTCTCAAAAAAAAAAAAAAAGAAAAGAAAATTGGACTAGCAATTTCTAGCTCACAGGTTTATGAGGAGTATGAAACAGGAGTGTGTTTGCAAAGTGACTGGCACACTGTCCTCAGCATGGCAGACATCTATCATCAGTGGAATAGGACATTAATTTTTTTTTTCTAAGATGCCACCTTTTGACTACCTTCCCCATCTGCCTCACTAACCCGTAAAGCATCACTATTGGAGAATGCAGCTATACGAGGCAGGACTGTGGACTGCCAACCCTCCCTTTGCCCCACCCTGCTATGTCCCTAGAAGTAATAAAATGTCAATAGGTAAAGACATAGGAGTTAGCGTTAGTGCCTTCCAGGTCAGCTCAACAACATTTGTTGATTTTTTTTTTTATTTTTTTTTTTTATTTTTTGAGAAGGAGTCTCACTTTTGTCACCCAGGCTGTGCAATGGTACAATCCTGGCTAACTGCAACATCCACCTCCTGGGTTCAAGCGATTCTCCTGCCTCAGCCTCCTGAGTAGCTGGGATTACAGGCACACACCAACACGCCTGGCTAATTTTTATATTTTTAGTAGAGATGGGGTTTCACCACGTTGGCCAGGCTGGTCTCGAACTCCTGATCGAGGTGATGCGCCCTCCTTGGCCTCCCAAAGTGCTGGAATTACAGGTGTGAGCCACTACGTCAGGCCCATTTGTTGATTTATTGATGTAAATGTACCATGTACCAAGAACCTTGTTAGACACTGTGGCACTAAACACCTAAGACACAGTCCTGCCATCAAGGAGCTCACACTCCTAGAGGGGAGAAGAAAACACAAAAAATGAAATACCCAGCATGTAATTTGGGTAATGTGTTATACAAAACTATGCAGGAGAGGCAGTAGCTAAGTGTCTAAGCAATGAAACACACAGCCATGGTACACACGTTGTGTACACTGCCAAACCATTATGCTGCATGGGGTCCTAACCAGTCTGTGCTGTGCCTTGTGAAATTCTCTGAGTATCCACCTGTCTCTATGTCTTCAACCTGAAGCTATAACACTGATATTTTGCCTTTGGTGATTCTCAAATGCTCAGCTATGATAGGGTTTACAATCACAGAGCCTTCACAAAGTCAAGCCAGCATCTGATGTGAAGGTAACTGTTCTGGACATAGCCTAGCAAGTTCTTTTTCTTGAGGGGTCCAGCATCACAAAACTTCCCAGTAGAAACCATGTGTTTAAGTAAGTGTCAGCTGCCTGTACTCCTAATGCTTTGGGAGGCCAAGGCAGGAGGATCACTTGAGGCCAGAAGTTTGAGATGAGCCTGAGCAACATAGCAAGACCACATCTCTCAAAAAAATTTTTTCTTAATCAACCAGGCATGGTGTTGCACGCCTCTTGTCCTAGCTGCTCAGGAGGTTGAGGCAGGAGAATCACTTTAGCTTAAGAGTTCAAGGCTGCAGTGAGCCATGAATTGCACCAGTACACTCCAGCCTGGGTGATAGAGAAAGATCCTGGTTCAAAAAAAAAAAAAAAAAAGTGTCAATTTAGATTTTTTATGGTGGGAAAAATCTAAAACAGTCAATCATACTTCAGAAGAAGCCTGCATTAAGATATGATAGCAACACTTCTGGGTTTTTTTGTTTTGTTTTGTTTTTTGAGCAACAGAAAGCTGAAGGACTAGAGACAAACACTGAGGCTTCCTAAGATTAGTTATTAGACAAAAAAACAAGGACAAAAATAATTGTAATCTCCTATTTGTGCTTGAATTTTAGAAGTTAAAGAAACTTTCACCAACTTTGAGCCACTCAACCCTTTATAGTAGTCAGCCATCGACACAATAATGCTGTGTAACAATAAATCACAAAAATCTCAGTAGCATTCAACAAGACACATTTATTTCTTGCTAACACATCTGTGGGGTCAACTGGCGTGTCTGCTCCATGTGTCACATCCTGGGGACACATGAACATCACGCAAGCCACTCCAGGAGCAGTGGCTACTCAGGGTATGCTCTTTTCATGGAGCAGGTGAACACACAAAACATCAAGACCAACCAGGCAAGTACATACATCAGATCCTCTGCTCACATCACATCCATCAGCATCCCATTGGCTAAAGCCAGTCACATGGCCAAGCCCACTGTCAAGAATTAGAAAAATACACATCACCAAAAAGTGTGGGCGCATGATGCTACTGGAAAGGAGGGAAGAATGGTTACTAATAATTCAATCTACCACAGCTTTTAAACCATCATGAAAGGTAGGCATTATTGGCTCCATTTTTTCATGACAGTTGAGTAAATGGGGCCTTAAGAGTTTAAGTCATTCATCTGAGGGAGGACAGGTAGTAAGTATGCTGCTCCAGCAGAATTAGAATTCAAATCTTCTACCTTCTGGCCCTTTGTGGTTTCTATAGGTATGTAGCTAGCTTACTAACACATAACTAACACACATCTTTAATAATCACATCCCAGCTGGGCATGGTGGCCAACGCCTGTAATCCTAACACTTTGGGAGGCCAAGGAAGGAGGATCAGTTGAGCCCAGGAGTTCAAGACTAGCCTGGGCAAGATGGCAAAACCCCATCTCTACAAAAAATATAAAAAATTAGCCTGGTGCAGTGGTGAGTGCCTGTAGTCCCAGCTACTGGGGCTGAGGTGGGAGGATCGCTTGAGCTGGGGAGGCTGAGGCTACAGTGAGCCATGATCACTCACTCTAGCCTGGGTGACAGAATGAGATCCTGTCTCAAAAATAATCATAATCACATCCCTTAATTATGCAGATACCAATTCTCTCCAACAGAGACCAGACACAACATTGCCTCATTTGTTAGCACCATCACAGTGTTTAACATTTGTTTGGGACTTCTGTAATGTTTTTACAAGCTTTTTTTTTTACTATTATTACACCAATAAATTATTTACGGTGGGAAATCTAAATCAGAAAGCTCTGGCTACTTGAAAACAAACTTTATTAAAAACATCTTCCCAGTCCAACATGTAGCCTCATAGGGCACACACAGTTTCTTTGCCTGAGCCTTAAAGATTACACCGAGTCATTGGACGAGATGATATTGACGGCAGCAGAGAAAGGAGTATGGAAGAATCAAGTTTGAAGCTAATGCTTGAGCGTGGGATTTTTACTCTGCTGCTGCTGTCCTGTGCAAACTAATTGCCAAATAGACCAGGCTGTAAAGCATCATAACTAGAGGTGATGAAGGGCAAGAAGCCACCCTCACGCCAGCAGCCTCCCATGTCCATTCACTTATTCACACAGTTGTTGAAGGCCTGCACCGGGCCTGGCAGGGTGCAGGGGCTGAAATGCCTCCAGAACAAGACAGACCAGCTCTCATGGAGTTCCCACTGCTGACAGGGGTAGATTGTTACAACAACAACATAAAGTAAAAGCAAACAGGGTAGTTTCAGATTGTACTGTAGCATTGGCCCTGGGTACATCATTTAACCCCTGTCTTAGAGTGTTCGGGTAGGGTGGGGGCGCTGTTCTTTTTCTCCACTCCCACCCTGCGGGAACCAGATACCTCCCGGGGCTTCCTCTCCTTCCCCTCCTTTGCTACCCCAGAGGCAGGCCTGATGGAGGACTGGTTAGTGACAGCTAAGAGGTCCGGAGGGCTGGGAGGCTGTCCCTCCTCCCCGCTCCAACCCCCGCGCGCTAGGGCGGGGTTGGAGCTGTGAGCGAGGTCAGTAGGCTGCGCCCCCTACTCTCCGCCCGGCTACGCGGTGCCGGCCACAGCTCTGCGGACGGTCTCGGAGGCGGATCTGGCTGCGGAGGTCCATCCTGACAGCTACAGGGCAGGAAGGGGGCTGGCCCTGCTCCCCACGCCCACCACGCAGGGACCCAGACGCCGCTCCGGCCGCTTCCCTGCACCTCGTCAGCCCGGGAGCTGCAGGAGACCCGAGGACAGCTTTCCGAGCGCCGGGCCTCGCTCTGGGACGACGGGTGTCCTGGGGGAGGGGAGGGCGCGCGGAGGTGCCAGGGGCTGCGGCGGACCCGGCCTGGCAGCACCGCTTCAAGTTTCCACCGGCGCGGTTGTGCAACCGGGAGAGGAGCGTGAGCCGCAGGCGCCTCGGAAAACAAGCCGAGCCCATAAACAAAGCCACGTGGCCTCCGGGCCGGGGGGCCGGGCTAAGAGCAGGCGGCTCTTCCGGCAACAAAGAGCAGCGGCCGGCAGCGGGCATAAATACTGCGGCAGCGACTGCCGCGCAGCACTCCCGGAGCCTGCAGCGCCTGAGACCACCCCCCCGCCCCCCGAGCCCGCCGCCCGGCAGGGTGCCCCGCGCCGTTCCCGCCGCCCCCACGCCTGTTCCCGGCCGTCGTCCCCGTCGCGGGCCCCTGCACCCCGAGCATCCGCCCCGGGTGGCGCGTCCCCGAGGCCACCAGGCCGGCCTCTTTTCCCCATCCGTCCCGTCCGCTCGCGGTGCCATGCCATTCCTCGGGCAGGACTGGCGGTCCCCTGGGCAGAGCTGGGTGAAGACGGCCGACGGCTGGAAGCGCTTCCTGGATGAGAAGAGCGGCAGCTTCGTGAGCGACCTCAGCAGGTGAGGGGACCCGCCACCAACTTCCAGCCCCCGCGAAACTGACCCGGGCTGGTCTAGGGGGCGCAGGGACCGCGAATGAGGGGTAGCAGGGCTGGAGCGGGCTGAGGAGGGAGACCCTGGCCCGGAGGGTGGGACTGCAGTGCCTGATTTCTGTAGAGGTCTCCGGACCATCGGAGACGGGAAATTCGGTTTCTCTTCTTGTTCAAGGTCAGTGTCTCCAAGTGGACACGACTCCTTACAGAACACCTGGTCCCTCTGAGAGTCTGATGACATTCGCGGATCGTGTCCCCAAACGCTCGCTGAAACTTAATGACACAGCTTTAGTGGTCCATGCTTTAAGGACACAGAAGTCGCGCACTTTGCCCTTGTGGGGGCGCGGGCTGGTGGGCTGAGCCCCTTCACCGCGGGGTGGCCCGGCTCCCAGCGCCCAAGCACTGTGGACGCGACGGGTGACGGGATCCGACGCAGGTCCCGCCTGGAGCGGTTCCAGGCCCTGCCCAGGCACGGGCAACCACAAGTGGCCGGGAGGATGAGTAACTAGGAAGGGACAGACAGATGGTCCCTGGAGCAGCCGCTTACTGGGCGGACTTGGGAGCGGTGGAGGCTCGGGGCTGCAGAGGTGCAGAGGAGGGAAGTGGGCAGGGGATGAAACCCACGACAGCTCTGCTTCTGGGAGGACAGGGCTCTTGCACCTGTTTCCTCGGTGGCCCTCTCGGTCGATCGGCTTTATATAGAGAGTGCGCTCCGTTTCCAGGGGTGCCTGTCAGCTGCGAAAAGCCTGCCTGGCCCCGGTGAACCTCTGGATTTGAGGTCTTACCTGAGCCCTGTGGTCTGATGGGAAACCTGAGGTCCGCTGCGCTCCCCGCTCAGCTTGGCGAACGACGCTAGCGCCCGGCTAGTAAGTCAGGTAGCCTGGAATTTCTCAGCCCCTGATCTCAACAGTTGACTTTCAGAGACTCTTAGCATTTAGCCTCGTGAGGCGGGGGGGCGATGAAAGTGGTTCCAGAAGGGACTGGTGCAGCCAGAGTCACCCTTGGGAGCCTTTTCCTGCTGCCTTTGGTTAAAACCATGGGCCCCTGCACCCTTAAATTGGCTTCAATGGAGAATTCTGTTTCTGGGCCAGGTTCCCGCTTACTGAGATTTACCAGTGGTTGCTTGGAAAAAGCATTGGCAATAAATTTTGAGAAGACTATCAAGAAAATGTGGTTATTTTGTCAGCTTGACCTCCCGTGCCTCCCATTTGTTTGCGATTTGTAATGCATCAAATTCCCATTGTCTCACAATGTAAAGAAAGACATTATTTAATCCTGGTGGTCTGTCCGGAGAGACTTAAGCATATTAACTGCCAGCATATAACCATTTATGTTGGAGTTACTTGGAGGCAGTCCCAGGGGAATTTAGGGACCACCATAAGGAAATCTTATTTACATAAAATCAGGTAATTTATTTACAGTAAAGTAAGACCAACTGCTGTTGACAGACTGTGTCTTTTATCTACTGGAGTTACCAATTATGCCTAAATTATTCTCCCTCAACAAAATGGGAAACGTCCTTCCTCCTTGTTCCTAAGGACAATGATCTAACATTTTGGTACTTTATTTCTGTCTACAAGTTCAGGTTCTTTCTAGAAAAGTGCAGAAAGGGTCTGAAGAGTCATATTAGAGCCACTCACCCAAATATAATTTCAGGATGCTTCTCAGTGGATAGCAGATGATTGTGTTCAGCAGGAGAAGATTTAAAATGTAGGGTTGTATTAATACTCACCCTACTCGGGAGGCTGAGGTAGGAGGATCGCCCAGATGTTCAAGGTGGCAGCAAGTCATGACTGTGCCACTGCGCTCCAGTCTGGGCCACAGACCAAGACCCTGTCTCTAAAAATAAATAAACAATTAAAATTTGCTTTAAAATACCCTGCACCAGCATCAGGAGAGAAACTGGTGTCACTCTCCTTTAGAAATAAATAGTGTTATCTCTGTCTTCACAGTATGGAAGACCTGAAGATGGTCTTAACTTACCACAAAAGTTTAGACTGGGCTGGGATCAGGTGGCTTCCTGCACAGCCCCCCTCCCATGTCCCTGTCCCCTTCATAAGCCTCTTTTCTTTCTTCCCATTTCACACCTGAGCTGGAGCTGTCACATCCATCATCATTACCGCAAATAGTCATTGATATACTGACCACCTGTGGTCTCCTTTGAGTCAGCGTTTAGGAATCATTGGGTAGCCTCCTAGCAAAGCAGCTGGCTGTTTGTTTGCAGGGTATTTTTTTTTTCCAGCAACTGTAAACAATCCCTTCCCTACTTAGCATGAGAAGCCTGCCAACTTCTTAAAAGCAGTTGGCCTTCTGTGGTCTGGGTTTGTCATCTTAAATATCCTCAGTTTTTGGTGTTGGTGACGTTTCCCCGCGATGTCAGGTTTGGGCTGCGTGTCTGCCTACACAGGTGAAGCTGAATGTTTCTCCTGTTTTGAGAAAACAAAAGGCAGGCCCTTAAGCGGGCAAGGATCATGAAATAGAACTACAGAGACATGGTAGACTAATTCTCTAATTCCACAGACCATTCGGCAAGCGGCCCGAACAAGAACCCAGGATAAAGGATGCATGTGTTGGTTCAGCCTGGGGTTATTATTTTGTGTTGACCAAGGCTTGTCCACACAGCACACCTATTCTGGACTCAGCTGGCCATCTTCTCTGTGGTTCGGGACTCCAACCTTCTCCGGTGTAAAATGTTACAAATCCAGTCTCAGCCTTGTGTCCAGGAGTGAGATCATGGGAGGATTTAAGATAAGCTTAAAGCAGGACCCCTTCTCAAAAATGTTGAAATTATATAAAATAGAAGGGGAATGGCAAGTGTTAAATATGGTGGGGCAGATTTAAAATGCAAGGAAAGAGCTTGGCGTGAATTGGGATGATCCAAGAATGCTTCAAGGAAGTGGTGGTTCAGGCGCCTGCACAGCCCTCCTCAGCAACCACCCCCTCACCGCCCACCCCCAGGATGAGTAACCTAAGCTGTCTGAGCCTCTGCCACTCTTTTCTAAGCCTACACTTCTGTCTTTGAAAACTGACTCAAATGTTGCTTTACTGTATAGCTAAGGCTGGACCCAGAAACAGGAAGTTTACCTTGGTGCCTGGATAAAAATAATAGTTCAGATTTTATGAGTGCTTACTGTGTGCAAGACACTGTTCTATGAGCGTTATACACTAGGCTGTTGGTTTCACCAGAGCATTCTGGGTACTAGCCTTGTGAGTTTGGCGATCTAGAGATGTGTCAGTAAATTGGCGTAGAAATCTCACTGGCTTTCATCAAGGCTATATAACTACAATTAAGCCTCTGGAGGCACGTCACAGCTTTCTTAAATGGTTTTTATTGCAAATGAAATGAGAAATAGGGCTTTATTTTTTTTTTCATTCCCTTCTTTATCTGCTGCCAAAACAGTCTTATTTATGGTCTTATTTTGAATTTTTTCTACATTTTTAAAAAGTTGCCTTAAAGTGTCTTGGTATGTGGTAATGTGGGGCTGGGGAGTGCGTCTTTTTCTTATTCTAGGCCTGTGCCTATAAAAATCAAGATTAGTAAATAGTGACTACAAAATAGCAACTTGCTGGCTATTATTGAATTTAGTGAAGAAAGCAGCCTCGTTGAGATGGTTTTGCTTATTAAAAAAAAAAAAAATCCAGTGCTCCAATTCCTAAATGGTGGTGGTTTTTCTTGTTAAAAATTTCGGTTGTAATTTTCCATTGGCTTTGCATTTTCTTGAAAAGGACACAATTGAACTCTCAAAATAGCCTCTGACTGAATATATTATTGCTTAAAAGAAAACATATAAGTAGGCAACACAAATAAACCCCATAGGCCTTCTTTCCAGGCCCTACCTCCGGAATCTAATACCAAGTGAAAATATAGGGTTTCTCTTTGGTTAAAACTTTTCTACATTCGACAGTGAGAGAACATCATCAATTATGTAAAATTCTTTCTAAACTAGCTTTTGAAATGAGTCACTCAGGCTTAAAGCAGGTTATTGTAGTTTCTGAGGAAAGTGAGTGCTCCAGTTCCTTTAAAGAATGTTTTCAACTGGAAAAGAAAAAGATGAAATATAAATATTTGACCTTGCTAAGTAATGATCACAGTGTATGGCCCAGGCTCGGAAAATCTGCTGCTGAACCTTAAATGTTGAGAATAAGACAACCTCATTTTATGATTCTATGTGGAATTTATACTGTAGGTTTTTGTTGTTTGTGGGGGGTGTGTGTGTTCTTTCTAAGGAAGCCTTCATGTGGTATTTTTGCACACAAAATGTTCTAGCTTTGCTTTCTAAAGCTGATCTCAGCTGTGGTACATCACGGACCACTCAAATGACCTTCCATCTTTTGCTGTTTTTCTCAACGTTGATTGAAATGTCTTAAGTTAGCCTCAGGAATTCAGCTCTGTTCTTTGTTCTGTCCCTCTTTTCCTTCTGACCTTGGAGCAGAAAATCAACTGGTCAGTGATTCTATACCCCTATAGTCATGCAAATAGACAGAAACACACTCCTGTGTTATACAAAGCTTGGCCCAAAACACTCATCCTTGGCTTGTTTTCAAAAGTGCCTCTGAGAGGACATTTCTGCAGGACTCTATCTGAAACCTAAAAATATCCTGTTTCCCTGGATGAAAAGAAGGCTATCGAGTTTAGTAGGAAACTCAGTAAATGGTATTAAGCATGGCCTTATGAAGGAAGATTAACAAATGATTATTTATCATGTTAGCCCTTAAGGGTCCAGAAAAGCAACACTGAGTATATTGTTGGAGATGTCATATGTGAGCATATTAGCAAGATACTTGTACTAACTGAAGTGCTACTTAAGACAGTATTGTATTAATAACAAAAAGATACTGGAAGTTGCTTCAAATCTTTTTTTCTCTTCTACCATTTATACAATGCCAAGGAAATAGAGAAGTGCAGATGTACATAATTATACCCAACAGATGTATATCCAAAAAAGATATAAATCAAATTGCATTTTAAATTCAGCAGAAAAACTCAGAACATTAAAGGAGTATAAAATATCGGTGGTATAGCAAAAAAAAAAAAAATCTAATTTATGTTTTACCAGTTGGCATTATAAATCCTGTTTTATATACTTCTTGGGGGTTGAGGGAGTTAGGGAACCTATCTTATCATACTTCAACATTTCTCCTGCATTCCTTCTGTGGAAATTATTCAGATTTACTTTGAAGTAACATTGTATAGTTGAATAGCTTACTACCCCTCAAATGATTGCTCAGCCCACTGAGGGAAATAATCGCCAGGCCCGAGGTGAGCCTGCCCATCCTTCAGTGACCTGTGAATTAGGCAGGTACATCCAATGTCTGTTCAGCCCTTATAAACTTATCAATTATAAGTTTACCTTGTACAGTCAAGACCCAAAGTCTTCGCCTCACAGCATGATGCCTAGTGTGTGTTAGTCAAGGCACTACATGAAACCTAAGCAACTAGCACTATACACAAAGCATCTCCTAGAAATGGAGTTTATATGTCAGATTTTTGTAAATGTGATTGTGTTTTAAAGACATGTTGGAAGGATACTACTTAAAAGCAGCTTAAGTATACTTTAAATGGATGAATTGTATGGTATGTGAAGTTTATCTCAACGAAGCTGTGTTTTTTTTTTGTTGTTGTTTTCTTTTTCTTAAGCAGCAGCAGCAGCTTGGGGTAGATGCTTTCGCAAAATGAAGGCATTGTGTAGTACAGCGATACCAGTAATCACCCCTCCCCTCCATTCATCGTTTTTGTTTCAAGTAATATTGTAGTACTCTGCATTGCTCTTAGTTGAAGAGTAGAGTGCTGTGTGTCAAATTACAATGCAAGGCACTGTTAAGGAATTCAAAAGAAGTAGAAGCTCCCATCCCTGCCTTCCACACAGATGTGAACTTGCTTCATCCTAAAGGAGAAGTCTGTGCCTGTATAGACTTTTTATTTTTTTTGAGTGATCATTTTATTGTTTTATTTTGTTTGAGAAGCCTGTATGTTTGTTTGTCTTATAACTCAGTGAGTTATTTATAGAAACAGCTCAGGTTCATGTATAGCTGTTACATCTCATCCTCTTTGTCTTCTGTTATTCATAGTTACTGCAACAAGGAGGTATACAATAAGGAGAATCTTTTCAACAGCCTGAACTATGATGTTGCAGCCAAGAAGAGAAAGAAGGACATGCTGAATAGCAAAACCAAAACTCAGTGTAAGCCATTTGTTTTGAACTTCAGAAAAAATCTGTTTGAAGATAGTTATGATTGGTTCTTGGAGGAAAAAAAAAAAAAAAAAACACCTCCCATGTCACACGTCTGCCTCAGTGTTTTACTGTGTGTCCCTGACAGAGGTTACTGAGATCTTAGCACTCAGAAACCTGGCTGTGCATTTTACAAGCGAGATTAACATATTCTTTATAGTCTTGTTTATAAGTCAGTTGCTAGTTGAGGGCCTTTTTTCCTGCCAGTCATTTGTATTTGGTTATTTTACAGTGATGTGGTCGGCTGAATCAGTTCCAGTATGTATTTTTATTTTGAACTGTTTTGAGGCTTTGAAAACAGATTTTTCTCCCTCTTTCCTTCTATAAATCCTATTAACATTTCTAGATACTATATGTAAGTATCAGCAGAGAATATAAAGTTGTATTAATAGCAGGAATTACAGGTTACTTTATCTGTAACGCATGTTTTCCTCATGTTATCTGTTTGATTTCTACTTTTCATGGGCTTATAGAAGTTTCAGGTTTGGCATTGAAAATAAACTTGTACTTGAGTATTAGGTTTGTGTGGTTTTTTTATTTTTTTATTTTTTATTTTTTGGTGTTTTTTTGTTTGTTTGTTTTTGTTTTTTGAGACAGTCTCTCTCTGTCACCCAGGCTGGAGTCAGTGGCATGATCTCAGCTCACTGCAACCTCCACCTCCCGGGTTTAAGTGATTCTCATGCCTCAGCCTCCTGAGTAGCTGGGATTACAAGCACCTGCCATCACACCTTGCTAATTTTTGTGTTTTTAGTAGAGACGGGGTCTTGCCATATTGCCATGTTGCCCAGGCTGGTCTCAAACTCCAGGGCTCAAGCCATCCACGCCCCTCTGTGCACAGCATGTGACTCAGTCTGTCAAAGCCTAATTTCATTTTTTGGTGGGGACGGAGTCTCACTCCGTCGCCCAGGCTAGAGTGCAGTGGCACAATCTTGGCTCACTGCAACCTCCATCTCCCGGTTTCAAGTGATTTTCCTGCCTCAACCTCCCAAGTAACTGGGATTACAGGCGCTTGCCACCACACCCAGCTAATTTTTATATTTTTCGAAGAGATGGGATTTCACCGTGTTGGCCAGGCTGGTCTCGAACTCCTGACCTCTAGTGATCTGCCTGCCTCAACCTCCCACAGTGCTGGGATTTCAGGCGTGAGCCATTGCATCCGGACTGTAATTTCTTATGGCATAATGTTTTAGAAAATAGTAATAATAATTTGGAGCTTTGGTATAGGAAATCTGGCTATCAAAGATTTAGAGTGCTTCAGACAAAGCAACTTATAGCCCCAGTATTTCTACACTGCAGAAATTAAGCACTTGAAACTCCTTAGGTTGTCAGTAGAGTCCTTATCTTTTTTGTCAAAACTTTTAAAACTTTGGAATACATGAAATGAAATGTTTTAAATCTTGAGCATGTTGCAGATATTAAAGCTGTGTATTCTTTTTGTCTCTATAGATTTCCACCAAGAAAAATGGATCTATGTTCACAAAGGAAGTACTAAAGAGGTGAGCATCCATTCATTTACTAAGTTATGCTAAACCTTATCCCTTCCTGATAGCGTAGGGAGGGAGGGATATGGTAGGGAGGGAAATTACTTCAAATCATCAGTGTCTTCTTGGATGTGGGAGACAGCAGCTATTAGTCTATTATCTAGCCAACCATCAGAGTTTGGAACAACAGAGAGAGAAAGAAGCAAAAGTCACCAGGTGGACCCTCTAGTCGTTCAATGAAATTATGTATGTAAAAGTGCTTTATAAAGACTGACATGCCCATCTCAACCATATTATTATATCGTCCTGGGTTTTGCCTGAGGGCAATGTCTCCCTTTTGTTCTAAGATCTCTTTGGACTTCAACTCAGTTAAATTTCAGTCCTGGAAGGAATAATCACTAAATATAGTAGAAGTTTTCAGTGCCTGCTCAGTGTGATGTGGGAGGGGACAAGACATTATAATAACTACATTTGTATGGCACTTTATAAAGCCCTTTTATGTATATTTTCTCTCTGCACAGGCATTTGCTAAAATAACTAGGATACAAGCATATGAAAGAATTTCTCTGACTGTCAGGGACCTCAGTGAACATCTAGTTCCCTCTGTGATTTGAGGTCCAGAGGGGGTCACTGATAGTCCCAAGACCACCCAGATACCCAGATACCAGGACTACGAGCCAGGACTTTATACTCCCAATTCCCTCTGTGTTCATAGGTTAAAAGATCAAAACTTCTTTGCTTTCTCCCAAAACCTTAAAAACACTTTTGATGATCACAGTGAGAAAAGCACTATTGGTATAAGGCAAGCTGGTGACACAGTTGGCGCAGGTAGGTCTAATTCTCCTCCTAGGAGTACGTTACAGTCACCAACCATCATGACCTCCCGTATCCCATACCTTGCTCCCAGTCTTCCCTGAATACACAATTACTTATGATTTTTCTAGACTAATATGTGGAAAAATCATAAGCAAGGTCCCAAATGGTACAAGTCAAGAAAAGGGCGTGTTTAACATGTGAGGGGCTGACTGAGGTAGCTGCTGGCTGTGTTACCCACCTTGCTGCCTCTCAAGGGCTTGTGGGTACAGGAAAGAAGCCAGTGCCCCAGGTCACCTAAGACAGGCATCAAGCTCATTTGGCAAAATCCAGTTGGGTTGTTGTAACTGGCTCATTCTGACATGGATGACCTCTGCATGCAGGAGTAACTTCTGTGCCTTTGTTTTCGCGTTCAGCGCCATGGATATTGCACTCTGGGGGAAGCTTTCAACAGACTGGACTTCTCAACTGCCATTTTGGATTCCAGAAGATTTAACTACGTGGTCCGGGTAAGTCTCAAATGCCTAAAGGCTCATCCAGACCCTTTCCCAAGTTGAATCATCTCTTTGGGTTGTCTTGAAGTGGTTTCCCCAAAAAGTAACTTTTTAGGACCTTAAGAATTTTGAGGCAAGCAGAAAACAGACCCCTCAATCTCCTTCTTCCCCAACATACTTCAAGTTCTTAAGTGGGTCGCACTAGGATGTCCCTGAGATTGGCCAGGACGGGCAGGGGCCGCCATATTACCCCCGTGAGGGGGTTAAAGAGCCAGCCTTTTCAAGTGAAATTTCACGCCAAGCCCCTTCCAAGCCCGCCCTGTGGATACATGGGAACATGTCACAGGCAGCACCAGCCCTGGCAACAGCCTTAGCAAGAGAGAATTCAGCAGGAAGCAAACCCTAGAGCACTTTGGCCTGTTTCAAAACCCAGCACCTCTGACTGTTCTCACTGTCTCCCACTTGTCCTACTTCAGCTGACTCTGGGGGACCCCAAGGCATTCTCAGAAGAGGCCACAAAACTGGATGAGTTAAAGCACCTCCGTGTTTTGTGCCTGTGGTTCCCTTCCACCCCCGTGTGATAACAGTATTCAATCCCATGTCCACCGAAAGCTTAAAACTGCCTGTTTTGGCCAAGTGCAGTGGCTCACACCTGTAATCCCAGCACTTTGGGAGGCCGAAGTGGGTGGATCACCTGAGGTCAGGAGTTTGAGACCAGCCTGGACAACGTGGTGAAACCTCATCTCTACTAAATTCAAGAAAATTAGCCAGGCGTGGTGGCACACACCTGTAATCCCAGCTACTCGGGAGGCTGAGGCAGGAGAATTGCTTGAACCCGGGAGGTAGACATTGCAGTGAGCTGAGATCACGCCATTGTATTCTAGCCCGGGCAACAGGAGTGAGACTCCATCTTAAAAAAAGAAAAAAATACAATTCTGACTGTTTGGATCTGCCATTTTCCATTTTAAACCCATTTTGAAAAAAAAAAGACTGATTGCGGTGACTCATGCCTGTAATCCCAGCACTTTGAGAGACTGAGGCAGGCGAATCACGAGGTCAGGAGTTCAAGACCAGCCTGGCCAACATAGTGAAACCCTGTCTCTACTAAAAATACAAAAAAAAATTATCCGGGTGTGGTGGCAGGTGCCTGTAATCCCAGCTACTCAGGAGGCTGAGGCTGGAGAATCACTTGAACCTGGGAGACAGAGGTTGCAGTGAGCTGAGATGGCGCCACTGCACTCCATCCTGGGCGACAGTGCGAGACTCCATCTCAAAAAAGAAAAAGTTAATGAGCAAAATATTAATGATGAATATGGTAAAGCAGATCAGCTTAACCATGACTGTCATGTTATTATTTTTAATTGGTTTATTATTTTGTTATCTCTGCCTACCCTCCAAAGCTCCCTTGTGTATTTTTGTCAGCAGTCAACCTGGGAGGTAGCAGCTGTTTGGGTTTTAGGCTCAGAAGTAGGAGGGAATTTTCCCCCGTGGGTGTGGTTGGTTTGGTTTTTATTTTCTTTTTCCTGGATTGTTGTGCTTCTCGGTGCTGTGCCACTGAGTCAGATGATTGCAGAGGCTCAGCCAGGGTGATGACATTCAAGGCCCCTTGAGACCTGGATCCTTCACCTGTCATCTGGGCAGATGCAGGCTTGGCTGTCCAAAGTGACCTGATAAAAACCCAGGCCTGCAAGAAGCAGGTTAGGAGCTGTGAGCTGAGCCTGTGACCAACAGAGCAGATATATTCGCTCTTCAGCTAAGCTCTTCTTCCAATCCAAAAGGGATAAAAATAAGAGACCTTCTTGGGTGAAATGTTCACGCCATTCAGTGTGACTCTGCAAGTTCACGGAGGTCACCTAGTCCTCCTAGGGCCCACAGACTAGTCTAGGCTGGTTGGAAATGGGCCCAGGATGATCTGGAAGCTTCTACTGCTAAGAATACGAATAGTTTCCATCTTCTGGGTATTAGAGGAAGACGCTTAGATCTGATGTCTTATTACAAACTGATCTTCAAAATGGTCAGTTTTTAGATGGCCTTCCTTTCTACCTGCTTTTCCTTTTACAAGAAATAAAGCAAAGGAACAAGCATCATGATAGTGAAAATCTATTTCATCCAATATGTTCATTTTCACCTTTTATCTTTTTAGTAACCCTATAAAATATGGGTGCTTTGATTATCTCTCTTTAAACAAATGCTAGTACAGTAAGATAAAATGACTTGTCCACGATCACAAAGGGATGAAATCAAGATCTGAAATCTGGGCAGTCTTAGAGTCTACACTTTTAACTGCTACCATGAGTTCTCTGTGAGCAGAGGATCTGAAGTAAAACAGCCGCAGGTCCTAGCTCCACTGATTTCAAACTGTCTCAGCCTCCCTAGAGACGTGGTTTCCTCCTCTGTAACAATGACTTACCTCAACTTTCCAAGGTAACTGGGGAAACTTAGTGATATAAACAGAAGCACTTTGCACAGTAGAATCTATAAGCACTTTGCACAGTAGAATCTATCTACTGTGCAAAGTCAGCCGCTAATGTTTACTATTACCCACTTACCAAAATTATTGATTTCCCCCTAAGATGCCTTTTCAGTTGAGTTGATTAAAATGTTTTCTACTTTAAAAAAAATAATTGGTGAATCTGGCACTTGCGTAAGACGCAGCACAGAGAACACGTATCCAAGAGTATCTAATTGTAAAATACATCATGAGCATTTTGCTTTAAATAATCTTAGAGAAACTGCTGAATGCTTTCAAAGTTGTTAGGCTCAGAAATAGTGGAAAAATATGTCTATTTTGCAAAGAACAATTTTTCCCCATCACTATTAGAGACCTCTGTAATTTGAGGAATAATATGTTATTTTTATAAAGAACTTAAAACTTTTTAATGATAGCCACCGTGTTTTGAGGTTTTCCTTCTTAGGAACTCAGTATACTTCTCATACACTCTTATCCTTAAACCAACTCTGCAAAGTAGCTTGCCAGTATATTATCCCCATCATACTACTTTGACCTAATGGTGTTTAAATGCTACAATGATTACTGGTTTCACTAAGGAGCTAAACTGATTTTAAGGGCCATTTGGAGGAAAAAAAAAAAAAGTTCAAAGCCTTGAGAGCCAAATACATTTTCTGAAAATCTGTTATGTTCATGCTGGTTGTCATCTTCCCAAAAAGAGCCATGCAGAGGTAATAAAAGAGACGGCTAACACTGCTATCTCAAAGTGTTATCACTCAGCATGAAAATTTCATGGAATGTTTAGAGTTGGAAAATTTTTTACTATAACTTGGAAAGATGTTTATATAACATTTCTACATCAATTTCACTGGCTACAAGCTACATGTATTGGCCCTGCTCCCTCCCCTACACAGCCCCAGTGACATAAAGACAGTTCTAGCTATGTGTTTTAAAGATTTCACATCTCTAGAAGCAGCAGCTTACCTACTCGTAGAAGGACATTTAAAACATAGTTTACCCTATAGCTCAAGACCAACACATTTTGGAAATTCCCTCGGGGAGCTGGAGAGGATTCCAGAGGCTGAGCCAGTCGGACTGGAAGTTTGTAAACATGAGTAGGTGAGTGCTGACTAACCAGGTCACAGAGAGGTCAGAGGATTGAGTGAGTCTTGAGCATCAAGTCAACCAGGAGAAGGTTTCAGAGACCATCACCCATGTAATGGCTCTGCAGTGAGCCTGCTGTGATCCCAGTGGTTCTTAGCCCTGGCTGCACATTGAAATCACCTTCGAAGCTTGTTAAACTACAGAAGCCCACCTCTGGAGTTTCCAATTTAATTAGTTGAAGGTGGTACCCAGGCATTGCTACTTTTAAAACGTCTGCCTGGTGATCTCAATGAGTTTTCAAGTTTACAGACCAGCTCGGAAACTACTTTGGAGCCCAGATATTACATTTTGCATATTAATGAGAATTTTTAAACAAAGTGCATGGAGACATTAAACTCTAGATATGACTTCTGGTCCTTCAGGAATTTAGTGATGGAAAGAGGACAGCCCCTCCTATATTCCAGCTCAAAGTTCGAAGCTTGTTTTTTGTGGTACCTTCTGCGCATCAATCACTTTACTTCTCTGAACTATAAAACTGGGATAACCATACCATACCTATACTGAAGCATTTTTATGAGAATGAACAAATAAAATGTAAAAATAAAGGCAGTGGGTGTGAACGTGTTATATACATTTCAAAATGCAATGTAACTTACTTTTCAGAAAGTTAAGTAGGATTTTAGCATATGCAACCATCTTTCTAGGGTGACTAAACCTGAAGACTCAATTCATAGGCCAGATACAGTTGGGGACAGAGATTTGCCTATTTGCAGTGGGACTTCTGAGGCCCTTAGAATGGTTGTACATTTTTAAAATCTTTATATTCTCGCCAGAGAGGCTCAATGACAGAAAACACCAACATTTATCCAAACAACTGCCCCTGTTCCCTTGGTCCCTAGTGAGTCCCTTGAGAAACTGCATTATTGGGATAAGATGGAATTAAGATAAAAACTGAGCAGTACCAATAAAAAGTATGGCTTTAAAAGGTCATGAAAGCAACTGTTATTTGGTGTCTGTTATTGCTGAGTACAATGTAATACAGAGCTTAAACTTGAATTCAAACTTGTACTCCTCTAAAACCTGTATTATTTTCTCCAGGCCCTGCCACTATAGCCAGTGAGGGAAATAGATGAAATAAATCTGACTCTACCTTGAAGGTCTGCAGCAGGGGTCAGCCAACTCCTAGCCCTCAGGTCAATAGCCTACCATCTGTTTTTATATGGCCCATGAGCTAAGAATGATTTGTACGTTTTTCAATGTTTTAAAAAATTAAAAGTATAATATTTCATAACACATGGAAATTATGTGCAGCTCAAATTTCAGTATCCATAAATAAAGTTTTATTGGAACAGCTATGCTCATTCATTAGATACTGTCTGTGGCTGTTTTTGTGCAAAATGGCAGAGTTGGGTTCAGAGTTGAGCAACAGAGAGCTTATAGCCTGCAAGCCTAAAATATTTAC